CTTCTACTGAGTGCATCATGTGGGAAAGAAACCTTTTGTGTGAAAGTTTCACATGGTTACACAAAAGTAACAACTACATCAACTGTACCTGCGTGGCTGTGCAGGGACTTTAATAACAGGCCTTTGCTTTGAACGGACATCGTTCTGTGTGCGACGTTCAGCACCCCAGGACGTCACAATGTTTGCAGGTGGAGATGCCGATATGCTGGGACCTGGAACATAAAAACAATTACAGATAGTCACACATTAACCAAGTTACAAGGACAGAAAATAATGACTAAAGATGCACGGGGGTGTTGACTAACCAGAGTCACCGTCAGTGTTTGTTTGAGACAACATCACATGCTCAGGCTCATCACTTGTCAGATGCAGCTGGTCCGGTCTCGAAGGTGTGATAAGATGATCACTTTCTCCCACAGCGTGCATTTCTGCCCACGAGAGATTCGATGGTCAAAACTTTTCAATTCTGGTCACTAGTACACTACAGATTCGATTGTAAAACCCCACTTTTTTAGTTAGAAATCCCACCTGAGGGGCCATTCCAGTTTAGGAGAAAAAAGAAAACATTAACCTAATAAAGTCTGACTTTAAATGGAACGCTCAGTCAAATCCTCAGGACTGACGATCAAATAGAGCAAGCCTATTCAAATGGTGGCAAACAGGCTACATGCAGCCCAGAAGCAACCTCTGAGTGTCCCTGCCTGTGGTCCTGGCAGAATTTTTTTTTTTTTTTCTTACAGCATAGTGTAGACTGTGAATGCAACACTCCTAGTAGGCTAGCAACATTCAACCCACAATGCAGCGTGATGTTGTAAACATTAAGCTATCATGGCACCAGTTCCCCAATGTTAAGAAAGTAGCAGTCGTCATCCTCATCCTCTGTTTGGGTCAACGTACACATGTGAATCAAGCTTTTCACACATGAACTCAATAAAAAGCAGCTCTCGTTGTTCACTGACTGACACTTCACCACTGCCTTTGGATTACACTGACATCTTACGAGCCAAAAGTTGCCGCTCTTGTTCAGAAAAAAGTCACGTCTCCCATTAATAATGTAAGAGGTAACTGTAGCCTACATATCAACATAATGTGGGATGTCTAACAAGCCATGCTTAATTACAGGTGTTGATTTAAAACAAACCTGTATTCCCTCAGTGTGCAGCAGTAAATGTTGTATTCATATGTGTTACTGCCATGGTTTGTGCATTTGATAGGATTGATTGTTCTTTTTTTAAATTCTGTTAAATGCTCTTTAAGATGTGTCTGAGTCACCAAAATATTTATTTTATTTTGAAAGGGAATTATCAAAACGTCTGTTGTTTTTTTTTTATAAATTCAAATGTGAAGAAAAAGTATTGCTACTACTGCAGACGCTATTCAGTTATAGCTCATTTAATGTTTTTTTTATGGACCTTTAGGTGTGCATTTGTGAGCGGTCACCAGATTTAAAAGGAACAAAGTGAATAAACATTACTTGTTTTTCCAATACATTTGTGTTGGTTTGAAATTTATCATGATCTGCTGCTACTGGCTGCAAAAATATCTCTACAAAAAAATAAATAATAATAATAATCTAGCCCAAATAACTTTTTAGTTGAATAGCCGTGAAATAGAGGATCAAACTCCATTAAACAAAAAGACACTATAGTAGTTTGTTGACCTCGAGTGCTGCTGATCTGACCCAAGCTAAAAACGACTCTTCCTCCCTCATATTTTAAATATCACAGTCAGGACGTGCTGGTTAGCTCAGTGAGAGACCAGCAAACCATTGGCCACATGGCCAGAGTGCAGCGACGCATGCTTGAGCTGCAGCCCTTTGCTGCATGTCTTCACCCCTACTCTCTACTTTCTTGCTCATCTATCCAATAGAGGCATAAATGCACAAAAAATGTTTTTAGAAAACAATTAAAAAACACCGCAGTCAGGACTAACACGTGGTAATATTCCCTAGTCCTCTGGATTACAATGGAGACCCTACTCTGCAGAAGAATGCCAGAGTTACCAATCTCACAGTTAGTTGTGACAGTTTGTTGAACATGCTTCCTGGAATAGGGCCCTGTTGATGTCTTTGTTTTGGTTTTGCAACCATTATGAGGCAACAAACCACAATGCATTGCCATTCCAAGAACAATCACTGGTGTGTGTTTATATACATCATCGGGAATTCAATGGGGATGTGGCAAACAGCACCTAGAGGCCAACTTCAAGCCTGTAGCACAAATTACCATCAACTGTGGGATTTACCAATGAGATGCTCTGTCCCCACTGCTGTTCTTCACAGGCCTGAACCCCCTCAGCCCGACCATTAACAAGACTCGCTAGGGATACAGACTACAGAATGGAGCCACCTTCGCTTCATGGAGGACACGAAGCTGTATTCAAGGAGTGAACGTGGCATTGATTCACTGATCTATACAACAAGGATCTACAGTAGTGACACAGCTATATAATCCAGATTGCAGATGTGTCGTTGGACGGTAATAAAGAGAGGGGGGGTAGTCAGAATCGAGTGGGTTGCACTACCAGAAGGCAACATTGCAGATATCAAGGAAAGTTAAAAGCACTTGGGAATCCCACAGGTAAATGAACGCCACAGTCACCAAATACCCAACATGACAAATCTGAATTTTAAAAAACTGGACTAAATTTCAATAAAACTCATTTTCAATGTAAAAGATACACACAGGCTACAAAACAGATCTTTTTTATATATATATAATACAACACTCTTAAAATAAATATGCAGGGACACTGAAGCTCTTGTAAATATGAAATTAAATAGTAAAATGGTAAAATGAGGAACTGACTGGTTAATATACAGCGCTTTTCTGCTCTGAGCATTCTATAAAACCGCCTCATTCAACCATTCACACAAGCAACAAATATCAAACATTAGTACCCCAATGGATGCATCAGAGAGCAACCCGGGGTTTGCATCTTGCCCAAGGATATTAGGCAAACAGACTGGAACAGCCCAGCATCAGAGCACCAACTTTCTAACTAAAGATGACCTGCTCTACCTCCTCAGCTTAAACTCTCTCTCTACATTCAAAACACTTGGAGATGACAATATGACCTGCGAGTGGACACTTTGGTTAAAACTGTTAGCCAACATCCTAAGATAAAGGATACTGGAAAATGGTAGGAATGACGTACGCAAGTTTTTGTGAAACAAGTCACCAAAAAGCCTTCTTCAAAAAGTGATCGCTGCCTGTTAGATCCGCTTTTGTAGCCCTCCATAACACCCACTTGCTGTATGCCCAGCAGGGTATCCTTTAAAATGCATATTGTTGGATAAAGATGTGCAGAGGACACTTACCAAACCACTTGTCGTCGGTTTCAGCATTCACTAGTTCTTTGAAGTCAACGACGTGGGACGGGGCATCAAACTCGTAGCGCTCCGAAGTATCCCCGGACTCGTTCTCGGCCATGTTTTCAGGTTATTTCTTCGACAACTCACTAAACAGGGAACTACGAAGATTGCAAACTTCAAATTATCAATCTTTCAGCCAAAAAACAGTTTTATTTGCAACAACCAAACTGAGGTGACTTGCACCCACATAAACCACGGCTAGGTTGCATTCTATCGCTATGGCTTCATGGGAGACTATTGGCCGTGTTAGCCAAGACAACAGACCAAACTGGCTGGAAAAGGTCAAAAGCATTTACTTCTCGTCTCCTACGAGAATTTATCCCACAGTAATGTCACGTTAGCTTTGCAATTGCGGTTCCGAGTCGCTTTTTCTTCATAGAAACAGAATATAAACGGTAACATTGCTGATAAGGAAACAACTGCCGAGCTAGCGTTACATACGTCTTCACGAGAAGGTACTATTAACATAAACCCAACTATAAACTCACTCCATTATACACATAACAATATGCAACACTATATATTTTTAGTGAGCTAAAAAACTACATCTGAAAATAAGGCAGCAATAAATAATGTAAATGACTGCAAAAACTCACCGTCTTTGCTCACTGCGACTAAAAGGGAAAACAAACAAGCCGCGCAGCGCTCAACGGAAGCGTTTAAATTTGCCACTGTTTTGAACCAGCCAATGACAAACGTTGTATTCACCAACTTGTCACTTATTGGCTTATGCAATGTAAAAACGTATTACGTAACCACGTAATCACAAAACTTAAAATCTGCGTGATTTTGTACAGTGATGTGTGTAATTTTGAATACGCCGGCTCCAGTCCACATAATACTGAATATACGTTGTTATTTTTTAGAAATACACACCCACAAGTTGTTAAATTCAGTGTCACAAACTGAATCATCCAAAAGTAGAAATGTTTAATGTGTGACTTTCTTTTCGTTCTCTTAAAGATCGTTAAATAGGCAGCCACTTTTTCTTCCTCCAAACTTTTATGTCTTATAAACAGTGTAAATGGGTACATTCATCAGCTAAGGAAAAAAAAATGCAAAAAAATGATGGAACAAAAAATAAATAAATAAAAAATCAGCAAACGTTGCAGTTACACATCATGATGTCAGTGTATGATAGCACATACAGATAAACGCACACAACTAAATTATAAAGTAATGAAATGCACGACTGATTTTGTTCCTGCCTATGTGTTAACCCTGCGACAGACTGGCGACCTGTCCAGTGTGTACCCTGCCTCTTTAACTTGTGTGGGTAATATACAGGGTAATACATCTGCAACACGAGCTATCAGCGGTGACCCTTCGGTATATTGAATCAATAACATAGAACTTCAGAAATGATGAAGGGGATACTGTGGGTGTCAGCTAACCTTGTTTCATATAATTTAATAGATAAATGCTTTATATACCAACTGCGCTCTAAACACGAACATCCCTGGGAGGCTGTACTCAGGGGCACAACCTTCAGCCTCTCGGTTAGTGCTAAACAATGACTTTTCATAATATATTATTTTGGTTGGCTAAGTTGCCGTTCACTCATGACTTCAACGTATCCTATTGGCTGAAAGTATGTGGTTTGGCCGGGACAATCCTCGTAGCGCTTTCGGGGGCGGGACTGTTAGTTCTGACAGGAAAACTAAAGAAAGGCGAGTATCTCGCAGGAAAAAGGTAAAACTCTGATTGCTCAGAATCTCCCTTTGCTTTTTAAAATTCTTAGCGTTGAAACTGGTATCAAGTAATATGCTTCCTTCTCTAAAGTGTGTGTGTTTAGGTCGACAAGAGGCCAGCTATCATGAAGAAGTAAGCAAAGTTAGCAAGCTAATGATTAGCTTCCGTAGACGAAAGGGAAACTGCAGCTAGGTAGAAGTTAGCCGACACTCTGGTGACCTAAAGAGGTCAACGGGCTACTTCAGAACTGAGGAAACATTAGCGTGCCAAGTTTTATGTAACTTCATTTCACCAGCGTTGAGCTGAGTTACAAGTGCCCCTCCATCGGAGGCACGTATCATTAAGGAAGTGAAGTTCTAAATCAGCATAATATTACAAAATCCCCAGATAACCGAGGCTTAAACTCTCAGCAGTGTATAACGGTAAACTATCTTGTTGTGAAGTAGTTAATGGTTCTTATAGGTATTTACAGAAAAGACTAGTCGTTTATAGTATAACTGTAAAGTTAGTTAGGAGATCGATGTACTCAAAATATGTCTGCCTTTACTGAACTGCGTTTGAGCGGACGTCTGAACCTTCAGGAAATAGTGATGTCACAGAAATACATCCTGAAATTACTGCTTTGGATAAAGAAGAGTCACAGCGCTTGAATGGGTTTATCGAGACAATTTAAAAGCCAAATTGTGGCATTTGTGAGCCAACATATTTATATTGGGTGCCATATTTAGTCAAAAGGACAGAAATTTGGTCTTAACTATCATAACTGTACTTTATTGTGTAGTGATGTGTTCAGTGTTATTGCCACACACACACACACACACACCAAAAATACTATAAGAAGTTTCATTTTTGACATGGTTGTCATATGTAATAAAAAGATGTCCACTAATGCTTTTAGCAAAACTCATAATTATTTATGTAAGAGATTAGTTCAGTAGATTCATTTTTCTAAAAAGGCAGCTTGGTCCAAAATAACTTGGAAAGTTGAAAAATAAAATTTAGTTTTTAATAATTTCAATTATCAAGGAAAAAAAAAAAACCCAAACTCCCTGGCCCTGTGGGGGGAAAGTTATTGGCCCCCTTGAGTTGAATTCAGTTTCACTCACCACAGGGCCTGATTACTGTCAGGCCAGTTTAATCAAGAAATTGCTTAAATACAACCTGTGTCACAACGTGAAGTAGGCTAAAAGATCTCAAAAAGTAACAAACCATGCCAAAGTCTAAAGAAACTCAAAAAGAGTTGAGAAACAAAGTAACTGACATCTGTCTGGAAATGTTTACAAAGCCATTTTTAAGGTTTTGGGACTCCAGGGCACCACAGTGAGAGCCATTATCCACAAATAAAGAACACTTGGAACAGTGGTGAACTTCCCAAAATTGACAATGGGCGATATATTTGCACATGCACAGACTTTTTGATGGGCAGAGCAATGTAATCATGGACTGATTTGCATGTTTTAAAATACAGAAGAAGGCCAAACATGGACAAACTAATTTCCCCCCAAAATTAGGGCTGTCAGCCCTAATGCGGTCATCACGATTAATGCGATTACAATTTTGAATGCGCTCAACCCATCTGGAGCGCAGAATGAACAAACTTTGGACTAACTGCTGAAATGCGTTGATAGAGACATTTCAGGGATTTTAATTCAGTCTGCGCTCCAGATGAGTTAATTGTTCATCGCGTTGGTCGTGATGATGGCACGTTAACGCTGACAGCACTAAAAAAAAAATATAAAGTCGCCAATTTGGGATTTCTTTGGCTTTAAACCAGATGACAGAGGTAAACCTAAGGATGTAACCAAAGCGGTGTGCCGCTTGTGCAGACGTATAGTGCTCAAACACGGCTAACTTACATGAGCATGTACGTGTCCACCATCCGGCTGAGTATGCTAGGCTATCACCAGCTTCTGCAGCTCCATCAACAAGCATCTGGGCGCACTCTGAGGAAGGGGCATTTGCTCACAGATGAATGAGGGTGCTGTTAAAGCAGCGCTATTATTTTTCGTTCTGTTGACTGCTTCTATTAGCTCCATCATTATTAGCAAACTTACTCATAGGCAAATGAATCAATCAGTCAATAAATAAATACTTTTTTTTTTTTTTTTTACGGATCTTGGAAGCTAGCTGACCAAAATGAGTAACATCCAAGCCATCAATACATATCGCCAACTATTCATCTAATGCCCATCTCCACTAGTAAGGTAGCCGCAGTAGAAGATATGTCACTGATAACAAGAACTCCTCACAGTACTTGCAGGTCTTCACCTGAAGTCAAGCTCTTCGAGCCTCTGCAAGCAATGGAAACAGGCAAGGTGAGGATTAGTAAGTGTCAGAACTGCAATCCTTGATGAAACAACGCATTCGAAATACATCAGGAAGATGACCTCCTGAGTTTAGCTGCTCCAAGAATGCCTAAGACAGCTGAAGATGGAGAGTGATGAGGAAGAGGAAGTATGGATGACTGAGCCCCTGCGGATGAAGGAAGGATGAAGGAAGTGGATGACATCAAGAAATCCTACCAGTTCCTAGAAGAGGCCGGCCTACAGGACAGCACAGAGGCTGTGATCATGGCACATGCCTCTATGGATCTAAGCACCAGATCCATAAAGGCGGCTGTCACAGCTGACAGGACCCAAGTTACAGACTGTGCAAAGGGACCCTGGAAACTGTGAAACACATAGTACCAGGATAAAACCTGGTGAGTGTTGTTCCTGGAATCCAGCACATTCCAGGAACAACATCTGAGACCTCTTTCCAGGAGAAGAGCGCAGTCCTAGGAACAGCTAAGATACAGAACGCATAATAGCAGGATGTCAAGTTGGGACTCAATATGCCTCCTGTCTGGAAAAACTAGTCACATGCATTGTTCAGGTGTGAGTTGGGCCCATTCTTCAACACAAACATTCTTCAAATTCTGTGGTGGTCCTTGGCTCTTGGACGACACTTCTGATAAGTCTTTTCCTGCAGGGAACCATCCGATCCACAAAGGATTGGATGTTTCCCAACATCTGGGAAGAATTTTATGTCAGTAGCGCCTTTACAAATATATTCCCTTTGAAAACTGGTGACATGTTCAATACTTATTTTACCTGCTGTATTTAAAAACTAGTCCACCTACCTAGATACAGCAAGCTTCTTTATTTTATTTTTTTAACAAACCTGTGTTGTGCCTAATTTAGGGAAAATATGATTCAGCACCACTTTCCTCCTTGGGACCCTTAAAGGATGTTTTGGAATATAATTCTCAAACTTGGATAAACTTTTCTTCCATGTTTTCATTCATTGTGTGGTTGAACTTCATGCAGCTGTACACTTTTTTTTTTTCTTTTTTTTTGGTGTTACAAACATACATCACAACGCACGGTTTTCAAAGCTCAACTGTTGAGGATTGACCATGACATGTGTGAGTGCTCACACTCTGCAGGAAACCGTTATTTTGCGGCACAAGCAATAGAAAAGAATGTGTTTCAGATCCCTGCATTCCATTTTCAGGCAAAGCAGTGGCTCTCTGATACAGTTGTGTCTGGTTTAGTTACAGAGGGATATTAATAATGTCCTCATCAGGCACTCTACCTGCAAAGACAGGAAATAACCACAACTGACAAAAGCTAGAACTGTTTTGCCTAACGTTCAAAATAAGCTGTGATGAAACATTACAGTTGAAGTTATTTTGTGATTGTTGAGAAATGTGCAAACATTTTAGGGACCTTGCTTCAGCTCTGTCCAAGCACACATTATTTTCTTCTTAGTTTTACGTAGTATTTTCTCACCTTTTCAGATTTCTTATTTCCCTGATTTTGTGTTTTCACAAGAGCTCAAACCACTCTCCCTAACAAGTTTGTCTTTGGCAATAAACCTTTGTGTTAATTTAAATCTCTAGCTTGGCTGATGGATTCTGTACTTTGACTTTTTTCAGATGGCGGCAATCAGAAAGAAACTGGTGATAGTCGGTGATGGAGCCTGTGGCAAGACTTGCCTCCTCATAGTGTTCAGCAAGGATCAGTTCCCTGAGGTCTATGTGCCTACAGTGTTTGAAAACTACGTGGCAGATATTGAGGTGGATGGTAAACAGGTAAGCTGTTCATTCTAACAATAAATGTCAGATTGTTTTATATTTATTGTAGCACAGTAGCATAGCAGTGTGTGTGCTATGTGTGAGGCTAAGAGTTTTAAGACGGGACATATCTAAAGTACTTTAACACTAGCCAATTTCATAAATAGCACATTATATTGTAACTATTGATTGATGTATGTATGTTAATATTGAAGCTGAAACTAGCTTTAATTATTTTCTCTATCTTGGATAGCTTTATGAATGTTAATATAGATATAGCTGATAGAGTTGTGATATTCATTACTGCAAAATTTGCTTTTAACTTTTTGGTCAGCCACCTGCACAAAATGCAGCCACACGGATGATTTCTGTGGTTAATAAGTTCAGAGTTGACTTTAAGTACACCTTGAGTAAAGCTTAACAATAAATAATTTTAACATGGCAGTCTACCACTAATAGATAGTATTAGTCACATGCATTGCTCAGGTGTGATTTTGGTCCATTCTTCCACACAAACAGTCTTCAAGTCCTGAACGTTACATAGGCCCCTTCTATGAACTCTGACCTTTAGTTCTTTCCAAAGATTTTCAGTTGGGTTCAGGTCAGGTGACTGGCTGGACCATTTCAACAGCTTTATTTTCTTTCTTTGAAACCAGTTGACAGGTTCGTTGACAGTGTTGTCTTGCTGAAATATCCACCTTCATCCTGGTAGAAGGCAGCAGATTTAATCAAGAACGTCTCGCTTCATTTTTCTATTCATCTTTCCTTCAATGACATGAAGCGTGTCAGTGCCGTATGCTGAAAAACATCCCCACACCATGATGTTCCAACCTCCAATTTTCAGTGTTGGTATGGTGTTTGTGAGGCGATATGTTGTGACCTCCCAGCATGGTGTGTAGACCAAGTTTGGTATCATCTGACCAGACTAACTTTCCCAGTATTTCACAGGCTTGTTTAAATGTTGTTCAGCAAACTTTCTGTAGCTCCATAAGTGCTCCTTGGCTCTTTGACAACTCTTCTGATAATTCTTTTCACTCTTCTGTCTGAAGTCTTGTGGGGAGCATCTGGTCGTGGCTCGTTGATGGTAAAATGATGTTCTTTTCACCTCCAGATCATGGCCCCAACAGTACTTACTGGATCCTTCAGTAGTTTAGAAATTCTCCTGTAACCCATTCCATCAGTATGGTTGCAAAGGTCTAAAAGAGCTTATTTTACATTATATACATTATTTATGGACATCAGTGGTTTGACTTGTTTGTATGTGTGGATTGGATGGTTACCAACATCTGGTAGGAATTTCTGTCAATAACAACTTTAGAAATATATTTACTTAGAAAATTGGTGACATGTTCAATACTTATTTTACCTGCTGTATGCAAAGTGTTAAGGCCAGTCAAACTTCGATACAAGAGCAATGAATTTAGTTCAGCATAGAGCTGGGCGATATGAGATTTTTTCATATCACGATATGTTTTTTTCATTTCAGGCGATAACGATATCTATCACGATATAAGCCAAATAACTATATTTGTAAGATTTAAATGTGCCATTGCTCACAAGTAAAATGTGAAATAATCAGCAGCTTGTTTTTAAATATTTATTTCCCATAATAAGTTCAACAGGGTAGATGTACTTAAGGAACATGAGACTTTTTCAGATAAATAAAGGCAAATATTGCAAACTACACAAAAGGCAGCCGCTAAAGCGTTTAAGTTTCAAAATAGAACAAACGAAACAGACTAAATTGTCAATTCCACTTAGAAACAAAATATTAATTCTAAAAATAAATCTTAGTTTGTTTTACAGAAGAACAGACAAAACTGACTAACTTTTGTCAATATCAAATAAACTGAGAACTAAAAGGAAATTCTCAAACTCTCCTTGTTGTATAGCTTAGCTTTTCAAACAGTTTTAACAGTTACTTTAGTCTGACAAAAGCCGAATGACGAATTAGCGCTTCCAGTCAGAGACTGAGGCTACGTCCACACGTACACGGGTATTTTTGAAAACGGAGATTTTCCGTTTTCGTTTTAAAAAATAATCCCGTCCACACATAAAGGCAGAAATGAAGGAAAACGCTGCTATGAACATGCCAAAGCAGCAGGTGGCGCTAGATTCCTAACCGTGCAGAAATGTTGGCCAGTCAGAAGTCTAGAAGCCTCGGTGGGAAAAAGTAAACAAAGCTGGGGCATAGAAGCAGAACCGAGTCGTATGTGTGGAGGGACAGTAACTGTGTGTATATGTAAGCATTTAAACACTGCAGAGAGTAGAATTAACAGTATTGTAGAAATTCATTTCACCGAAACAATAACGTGGCGCACAGTGTGACGCATGCACCAGTTTATTGTATTTCCAGACTTGCTTTCGGCACAATTTACAGTGCACGCTGCTGTTTTTTGTCAGACTTGAAATAGCCGAAATACCTTCAAACTACGGAACTTCTATGGCTCTTCCGTTCGACAATCTCTCCGGCATTGGAACCATCATCTGTTTTCTCTTCGGTCACGCTCGGTTGATTTTTCTAGTCGGCACACTCATTTCCTCCATTATGCGCTGGCTCCATTACCCGCTGGCTGCTTCCCAAACAAACACACGTGCGGCTTGGCACTTGTGCTGTACGTAACAAGTCACGCGACGTGACGCTGCGGCCCTGATTGGTTCGGCTCTGCGCTACCTAATTTGGATTGGCTGACCTTTTTTTTTAAATTTTTTTAAGAGGACAAGAGCGGCGAAGTCTATCGCGATAGCTTAATTTCTCTATCGAGTAAAAGTTATATCGCGATACATATCGTTATCGTTCTATCGCCCAGCTCTAGTTCAGCATAATGAGGCACATCACAAACTAACCACCTCCTATTACCAGTTTTAAATCTCTGTTTATATCTAACTGTACATACTCGTGTACATACCCTTTCAAACTGAATTTCTGTAATACTGCATCTCACCTGCAGTATCTGTGCAGCTCACGCTTTGGATTGACTGATCAAGCAAAACATGATCTGGAGCCGGGTCATAATTTTACAGCTTAGCAAGAAAACAAACAAAAATGAATCCATTTCCCTCCCAGTTGTAAAACTGGAGCGAGGTCTGTCCATCCAAACTATCTATGAATGCAAAATCAAAACAATTATCAATGCATTACTCGGTATAGAAATTACTTGTAGATCACATTAATCTTGAGAGAATGTCTGCCTCCTCAAACAAGGATCTTGGGGGCAGATGTCACCAAGAGGTTGGTGGGTTGTGCTGCTCTTTTCTTCTCTACTGTCGCCCCCTTAAGTTTGTCTGCACCTTCATCAGTCGAGTGCTCATGCCCTCGATTTTAGGACTCTGTGTAAGCTAGAACACTAATCAATGATTTACACCTCATGCACTTACATACATGCCTGAATGGCTTCCATCCACCTGTCTTCATAGCATGCTGTTACATGATAAAAATGGGCCTGTGTTTGAGGACCCTAAGCAGGATTGGTGTGTGTAGTAGGAATTAACTATAGTCCCTCCCCTGCAGGTGGAGCTGGCCTTGTGGGACACAGCAGGTCAGGAGGACTATGACCGACTGCGGCCTCTGTCATATCCAGACACAGATGTCATCCTCATGTGCTTTTCCATTGACAGCCCTGACAGTTTAGGTGAGTCTGTTTCTGTTGGTTTCATTAAAAAAAATGAAAAAACTCTTTTATATCTGCTGCATGTTTACCTTGTCCACATTGTACCTGATGCAGAGAATATTCCGGAGAAGTGGACTCCAGAAGTGAAGCACTTCTGTCCCAATGTGCCCATTATTCTTGTGGGAAACAAGAAAGACCTGCGAAATGATGAGCACACACGCCGAGAGTTGGCTAAAATGAAACAGGTCAGTGACGGCATGCACTCATACAGTTTCATATTAATCCCACCACACAAACACTACACTAACATAACTAATGACAAAAATGTCCATAACTTTTGTGTGTCAGCCTTTAGTCTACTACAGTTTCCACTAACATTCATTAGGTTTTTTTATAGGGCTGCAGCCACTGATAATGAAGACAAATATATTTACTAACTTTTGTTTTGATATAAAGTGTGATATAAGTGAAAAGTTTGGACACAGTTTCTCATTCAATGGTTTTTCTTTATTTTCATGACTGTTTACATTGTAGATTCTCACTGAAGGCATCAAAACTATGAATGAACACATAAGTGTGAAATAACTGAAAACATATTTGATATTTTAGATTCTTCCTAACAGCCCCTTTGCTTTGATTACTGCTTTGCATACTCTTGGCCTTCTCTCCATGAGCTTCATGAGGTCGTCTCCTGAAATGGTTTCCAACAGTCTTGAAGGAGTTCCCAGAGATGCTGAGCACCTGTTGGTCCTTTTGCCTTCACTCTGCGCTCCATCTCATCCCAAACCATCTCCACTGGGTTTAGGTCAGGTGACTGTGGAGGCCAGGCCTCCATCACTCTCTTGGTCAAACAGCCGTGACACAGCCTGGAGGTGTGTTTGGGGTCACTGTGCTGTTGAAAAATCAATGATGGGATGGCATGTTGCTGCAGGATGCTGTGGTAGCCTTGCTGGTTCAGTGTGTCGTTAGTTTTGAATAAATCTCCAATAGTGTCACCAGCAAAGCCCCCTGACACAATCACGTCTCCTCCTCCATGCTTCACAGTGCATGCATGTAGAGACCATTGTTCACCATTTCTGCGTCACGGGTGGAACCAAACATCTCAAATTCTGACTCATCAGACCAAAGCACAGATGTCCACTGGTCTAATGTCCATTCCTTGTGTTTCTTGGCCCAAACAAATCTCTTCTGCTTGTTGCTTTTCCTTAGTCGTGGTTTCTTAGCAGCTGTTTGACCATAAAGGCCTGATTCACACAGTCTCCTCTGAACATGTAGAGAGATGTCTGTTACTGGAGCTCTGTGTGGCATGTATCTGGGCTCTAATCTGAGCTGCTGTTAACTTGTGATTTCTGAGGCTGGTGACTCGGATGAATGTGTCCTCAGCAGCAGAGGACTGGGGCGTCCTCATGTGAGACAGTTTCATCATAGCGTTTGGTTCTTGCGACTGCACTCGGGGACACAATCAAAGTTTTCCAGACTGACTGACCTTCAGTTCTTAAAGTAACGATGGGCTGTTGTTTCTCTTTACTTAGCTGATTGGTTCTTGCCATAATATGAATTCTAACAGTTGTCAAATAGGGCTGTCAGCTGTGTACCAACCTGACTGCTGCACAACACAACTGATGGTCCCAACCTCATTAAGAAGGCAACAAATGAACCCTGACAGGCACACCTGTGAAGTGAAACCATGTCAGGTGACAACATCATGAAGCTCACTGAGAGAAGGCCAAGGGTTTGCAGCGCTGTCAACAAAGCAAAAAAATCATATTTTGCATGGTTGGATCTTAACAAGGTTCCAAGTAGAGCTTCAATATGCAACATGAAGAAATGGGAGTGAGACAAAACAATTATTTTTGAAAACAACATTTAAACGGAAACAGGCTGTTTTACAGCTGAACAAAAGTTTAGGTCCACACCTCAAAAAAAACCTGTAAACCCCCCAAAACAGAAATCAAAGGTCCAAACATGAACTCGGTCATGAGCAGCTCCACCGTGTTGATCACATCAGAAATTACTTCCGGCATGCTTGATGATTTGCTGGTAAAGTTAAGACAGGCTTCTGCATATACCATACTGTGGACAGGTGTGCTTTATACATTTACAGTAAAGAGTTCAGATGGGGAGTGTCTGGAATTGATTGATTGTAATCTGTGGGCTAAATGTGCTCACAGCCAATCTGTGGGAGGGATCAAAGACTTATTTCACTCAATGACAAACAAATCAAGATTACTTTTATGTTTTTGTTTCTGGACCTTCGGTTACTCTTACTGATCTCCATTAAAATTAATCTACCATGAACATTAGAGTGTGTTCATTTCTTCTAAGTGAGCAAACGTATAAATCCCACAGAGGGTCGAATAATGATTTCACTTCTTCTTTTTCATTGGATTGAGCTGGTTTTCCTTCATGGTTTTGTTCTTCCCAAACAGGAACCTGTGAAGTCAGAGGAGGCGAGAGAAATGGCCAACCGGATCAATGCCTTTGGTTACTTGGAGTGCTCAGCCAAGACGAAGGATGGTGTGAGGGAGGTGTTTGAGATGGCCACCAGGGCGGCGCTACAGGCCAAGAAACGAGGCAGAAAGAGTGGCTGCCTTCTGCTATAGAGTGTCAAGTTACACAGGTTAGGGAGGACAGGAGGAAAGGATCCTTGCCAACAAAATCATTCCTCCTGTTTCTACGTTGTCACCATGCTGTGCAGAATTGAATGGGTCCTTTTCAGGAATAAGGGAGAAAATCAAACTAGGTCAAAAGGGGAGTGTAAGCATTCATGTCCAAGGTTTAATCTGCCTTTAATCTGTAATCATATCTTTGGATTCATCAAACCTAAAATCAAGAGAACATGGAAAGAAGGAACCATCTCTCTTAAAGAGGTGCGTTGGGCTTTCCAGACCTATGAAGTGGTCTCCGTTATTCTAAATTGCAGCCTGATGGTCTGTACACGAGCCCATCTTTAGAACTGATCCATCCCAGGTGTTCAGTACATTCACAGCTGTGTACCATATGAACAAGTTTCTGGAGGACTTGGCTTGTGGCGTTTCTTTCAGTTAACATCCTATTAGTCTGTACTTTTGTCATTTCCTTTATTTCTCTGCAATGACCATCCAACTCTATACAGACCTGATTTCCTCCTTTATGATGATGAAGTAACCTGTCGCTGCAGGTTCACATTCAAAATCCACACTACCGCTCAAAAGTACAAGTTGCCAAATGTCAAATTAAATAATTCAATAAAAATCACACTTTTATTCTTTATTATTGATATTAAAAAGTTAGAAATAATGATTTTTGCAAAAATAATTGAGTCTTTCCAGCATTCTACCATCAGTTTGCTGACATTTTAGTTCATTCTTCCAGAAGCTACCAGTTTAATGTGGGTGAGAGTGGACTGAGATCCAATGACTGTGCTGGGTTCTCAGCTGCTTCTGTATAGTTTAGTCATTCTATGGCTCACTGTGCTGTTGCAGTCAGTCAGCATCCACAGGATCCGATGTTGTCCTGAATTTCCCAGAATTTCCCACTTCACCCCAAAGACCTCCAAAACTTTTACAAAGTGCCACTTGACAGGTGGCAGGCACACCTCCACGATCCTTCAGTCTTTGTCTCAGAAATATTCTTTTTGACCCAAATACCTCTGTTAGGTTTATCTGTTCATAAAACTTTCTCCCTGACTTCCTCTGTCCAACATCTGTTCTTTTTTTCCCCACGTTATTTCTAAAGCACTTTAAAAACAACATAACAGCTGACCAAAGTGCTGTACAGAAAATAAGAGAACAAAAGAATAAATCAGTAAAAGTACATACAAAGGGTAAGAAGACGACAACTCTCACTGGGTTAAAAGCCAGGTGTGTGAGTTAAAAGTTGTGTTTTTAAACGGGTTTTAAAAACAGTGAGGGATGGAGCCTGCCTGACCTCCAGAGGCAGCTCATCCCACATTTTGGGAGCCAAAGCTGCAGAAGCTGGGTCTCCTTTGGATTTATAAAAGCACCTGGTTAGCTGATGTAAGAGCATGTGACGGCATGTAAGGGTGAAGCAGCTCAGGGGCAAAACCATTAAGAGAATTAAAAACAAAATAATTTTAAAATGGATTCAAAACCTTTACCCATCTATTCATTTTATAAGGTGGTCTCTTTTTTCCCCACTGTTTTTAAGCAGGCATTCCTGATCTGCTTCTCAGCTCTTGTTGTTTAGTGTTTAACAGGTGTTGTTCTCAGACAGCAGACTCATGTATTTGGCCTGCTGCTCAGTTGGGCTGTTCTATAAAGGGAATAATATTGTGTACAATGTTCTGGGCAGTTTCCTGCATGCAATAGCGTTCACTTTCATAGCACATTATGGTTGAACACACAAAGGATGATGTTTCAGTTACTCAGCTAGCTAAAAGTTTAAAAATGTAATGAATTAACATTCTAACATGATAAACTTGAATTAGTAACAACATGCCATTGGAACACTGTGTGCTAAAAATCGGCCTTTCTACTCCAATACAGGTATTCCAATAAAATTACAGTAATGCATGATTACATTAGTTGTGTATGATGTAGTCATAGACTGTGGTTCATTTCTGACTTTTTGTTTTTCAAAATAAAAGTCTGCGCTTCTCTTTCAAAACAAGGACTTTGTGTGATGCCAAACCTTGTGTGTAAGATTAAATTACCAGTGTTTTGTACAACTTTTCAAAATTTGATTGCTCGATTTTGTTTTTCAAGTCATTAAACTGATGTGGACTGTCTAACACTGTATGTAGTTGGCTATAGAAGCGCTAACAAAGGCAAATGATCCTGAACAGAGTTTTTGTTAACTGTCAGATATTAAAGAGGCCTCGGTGTACCTCTGACACAGAGGAGTGGATGTTTATAGAAGAAAGGATTGTGTTCGAGTCGAGCAGTTCCAGTTTTAATGCCACACCTCCATGTTTCTGATCCGGTCTTGTTCACCTGCTGTCTTGAAGAGTTAATATAATGTACAATTTCTACAACACTAATTCCATCAGTGCTACAGTTAGACTGTAACTAGAAGGCTTTTAAGACTGGACACACTTGGTAAAGAACAGTGTTTCTCTTCTAATATCTTTGTGTTGTACTGATGGAATTAGGGCTCTGGAAATTTACATTATGCTACTTTAAAGCATGTTGTGAGGCTAATATGTAACTCATTATTTAAGTACAAGTTTGAACATTTATAGTGTACCTATATGTTTTGTTTTTCTTTCCTGCTCTGCATTCCATTGTATGCTATTTTAACTATGGGATATTCCATCAGCTTACTTTTGTATTATTTGCACATAGCTTCAAATGTCTGTGTCATATAAAAACACACAATGTCCAAATTCTGAAATGCAAAATGCAAGGATCTTCTATAGGATTGGTTATTTGTAAGCAAAATATTCTTTTATATCCAGTAGTCTTTTGTAAAGTTTTCTAAAGGAAATACATTTGAGAATGACCAAATCTGCTGTGTGTGTCACTTCTCATGTGTTTTGTCCTCTTACCCACTTAAGAGTGTCCAAGTCTTGGCTCAAGATGGTGAGCATGATGGTCTGTGTAGATGTCCATGTGTCTGCAAACGTATAACAGGAACATATTCCCCATCGATGCTATAACCTCATCAATAGCCAAGTTTAATCCCAACTCCATACTGCAAACATTCAACTGTTATAATATTCAAGTATTCCAGATAAGCAATGAGTCTAGTTTTGCCTCACAAAGGAAAAATAACATAAAAACCACAGTGTAATTACTGGCCAACACTTGGCAGACTTATGATGTAAGTGTGTGTGAGCCCCACATTTAAGGGCTTTAGATGCAGAGAGATGCAGAGAGGCTGGAGAAGGTTATGAAAGCCATTCTAAAAACCTGACAGTTTAGCAGTTCAGCGGATAAAATGACTGTTGCTGTTTTTTCAAAAACAATGCACTGCACATCAAACCTCATCCCAACAATGACATATGGTGGAGGAAGCATGTTTTGGGATCGACGCCTGATCTCTTCATCCTCAAATATATTCCATTGTGGACACAGACAACTGGAGACCCCGAGGAGTCATTACTTTAAAGTCTGACACTAGTGGGCATGCAAGTGGAAGTACATCTGAGGCTTTACAGTCATTAAAGGAACAATAAATTGAATCAATGAGTCTGATTATTTGCACTGGATCTAGCGAGCGATTCACAAGTTGAATCTTAGGACAGTTTGATGAAATAAGATAAATTACCCAAAGCATGGATGTAAATTAATATCAGAATTATTCAAAAAAAAATCAGGGAGGCCTGTGCTTAACCCACATGAGGTGGTGTAGCATGATGCGATGATATTTTATAATCAAGATATTCCATAACTGTTGATGAACTGAAACACCTCGCAGAAGGACTGGTCCAAAGTTGTTCTTCGTTACTGTGCAAGTGTCACGAGCAACTGTAGAAAAACCTGTGATGAAGACTGGTCCAGTGAACACTCGTTAAGATTTTACAACAGAAAGCACCAATAAATAAAGATGAACTCGCAAGTTCCACTTTATTGCTGTGCGGAATCTCAAAACATTCTTCTTTTGGAGTGTTATATGTGTATATTGTCGTATATATCACTGTGTAAACAGTTTTTCAGCTGTACCAAACACAGCTCCACGCTCTGTCAGGTTTATGTGACCAGTGCTGGATCCCACAAACCACCCGCCTACACAGCAAATATCCATGTGTGCTTTACTCTAATGAGGTTGCTTATCTTCTCTTTGAGCTCTACATACTCAAAAGAATAACATAACATATTTTTCTTCTCTACATTTTTATCCTATAGACTTGCAGTATATAAGGAGATGACTAGATTTGAATCAAGTATGATTACTGCATTTAATGGGTGGAAGTGCAGAAACTGAAATTGCACTTTGAACTTAAAAGGTCGTACTATGACTATAGATAATATAGAGCATATTTACTCTGAGGTCTGCATGACACCTGCAAAGTGTTGTGCATGATAACTCTTACATGTCATTCTTAGATCCAGCACTCATGTGGTTCAGCCATCCTCTGAACCACTCACCTGCAGTTATCAGGCTGAACCCACTGAACAAAACTGCATGAAAAACACCTGTGAAATATAATAACTCACTATATTTAATATTAACATGTTGTACAATAAAGTGTATGACTTTTCTTTAGTGTTTCTGAAGAAACACTAAAGAAAAGTTCACATTTTTATGATGTTTCTTGCAACTGTAAATGTGAACAACAATGTTGGCACCACATGACATATGGTGCCTCAGGCACAGTGAGTAATCTTCATCTTCGTTCTATAATATCTGGTGGAGTCCTGTCACAAAGTCCTGATAGTACGGCTCTGAAATGATAACAAAAAGAGAACTAAGGCAGTGAGCTGGTTTTTTGACTGGACATTTTGCAAACACCCACAAACCTGTGTCAGGGTCAATGTACGAGTGTCTTATGAGAAAGTCCAAGACTACCATGGCAGAGTTGGGTTTGAAGTCATCAGTGACCAGCAGTTCCTTCACCTGAAACAAGATGCTATATTTTATATCTTTGTGTCATCTATATCTCAACCCATGCAGTACTGGCTCCTAGAAGCTGAATTCCCAAATTATAGTATGAGAAAAACACTAACCTTATCTATGGGGAGGAGGTAAAACTCCTGCACCTCTCCATCCCCTATTATGGGCTTAAACTCCAAAGGAAGTTCCAAATCAAAGACAAACTGGCTTTCTGGAAACACACCCTCTTCATCCTCATATGTGTAGCTTGAAAATAAAATAAAACAAAGGCAGCTAAATTGTCTCTTTGAAAATCCAATTATGTAACTAACTGTTTCATAAAGCAATGATTCTCCAGAACAGGAGGTTCTTCCAGAGGTGTCACTGTGAGGCTGTGATCCAGCCACACCAAAGCTGCAGTATATCAACACCAGTACCGGTGCCCTTCTACCATTCTGACTACTAAAACGCATGTTTTATTATACCCAGTATTTAATTCATTTTTATCACACTATTCCAATTAATGCAAAAACAGTGTTCACAGACTTGTGTTTGTTCTGCCTGTTATAGCAACACGATCGAGCTGCAGCTGCTGAGAGGTTCTAAGCAGCTGCGCAGGCTTTGAAGTGACAGATCTGTAGATCACAATCAAACAATCAACAATCAAAAATACAATGTAGAAATGTAAAAAGATATTGCAAATAAAAATAGTTCTGGTTTTATAGACAGAAGCTGTTTGATGGTTTTCTGTGGTACATCACAGCGGAATGAGCCTTTTCCACAGTGACTCCTGTTACTGTCCAGCAACAAATATACTGATAAAAATAACAAATTCAACTTCCACATTTTGTATACATACATATATGTATGTATGTATGTGTATATATATATATATATATATATATATATATATTAGGGGTGCAACGATACACAAAATTCACGGTTCGGTTCGATACTTTGGTGTCACGGTTCGATATTTTTTCGATACAAAAAAAATGTTCATGCCTTTTTAATTTGTCATTTATTAAAATTATAAATATATATTTTAACTCAAAAGTACAGTTTTTAAATTTAACCCTAACCCTTGTGCGTGTTTTTTATTTTGACAGCGAATGCGCACCTGCGGACCACTTATGTGCAGCCCTGGTTATTTAGCTCGTCATATTGCAGCCACAGAAATTCTTTTGTCCATGAAACCATAAAGCTGCACTTTCTTTTTGCCTTATAGTCTGATTTGTCATAACTTCTCCGTTTTGTGGTAAGCTTTTCTTTGGCTGTCACTTCTTCACCCTGACCTGTCTTATTTGGCTCAGCAGAACTAAAATATATATCCTGCTGCTTTTACACACGCACTCACATAAGCTCAGCGATTCTCTGCGCGATCAACCTCTCACATGTTTAAGCTGCGGGAGATTTCACTTGTCATGTTTGCATAGTAAGCTAACGATTAATAAGACGATGTCAGAGGAATTGGTGCACAAATTATCATCACTCACAGATCAGTGCTGTCGCTCTCTATACACAGTTCGCACGATTGCAAAGTGAAAGCAAAAAAACAAGCGCATATTGAAACGCGATTTCAATATGTCACATATTGACAGTGGCTCACCGATGCCAATGACATAAATTCCCAGCTACATTTCTGAAAGAATGCAAAAGCATTGACATATATTTTTCCTTCCTACAATAGCCCGACGGGCAGGGAAGAGATAGATTTTGGTAGCCCGACTGAAAAAATTGCTAGCCCCAGGACGTCGGGCTAGCGATATTGCGAGCCCTGTATCTGATTGAGGAATCACTCATCTTTGGAAAAGAGAGTTTATTACAGAGAAATGGCTCTTTCCAAAATAAAAGCTATACTATCCGCTTCTTCTGGGCTATATTCTCAGCAGCATAAGGAGAATCATGCGCTAACAGCTGTCTAAATGACTCGGCTAAAGTTAGTAGCATGCTTGTTGTTTTTGTCTTTGCACTAGGATGATGTCGGCGTAAATGTGCAGTCATATTCGTTGTGTTCCCACTAGTGCTTTCAGGTTAATCTCGTTGAAATGACCTTAACGCCACAACACGGCAAATCTCCGTTAACGAGCTACCGCCGATCGCCCCGTGCATGGGGCTAGACGGCCAACACGTTAACGAGCTAACTGCGCTAACACACTAGTTCCCACCCATGTAATTGAGCATTGCATGGCACATCCAACATACTGTTTTACTTTAGTCCATGACTCGCTTACCTTCAGGGTCATACGTCACATGAAAACCAAAATAATTCCAAACGCCAGATCTGAATGAGGGTGGGGGAGGTCCATGTTGCAAGGAGAGCTTAACTTCTGTCTTGCTAGCTTGCCCTGCGCTCTTCCTTCTGACTATGCTGTCTGTGTTGAGCGCTCAGTGGATCTGCGCTCGACAGTGCAGCCTAGGCGGAGTAGTCGAACGCAGATTCACTGAGCGCTCAACACAGACAGCATCGTCAGAAGGAAAGTTGATAAAATAAATTACAAATGTTATATTGTTCGATACATATGCGTACCGAACGGTATCGAACGGTTCAATATCGATACGAATATCGTTGCACCCCTAATATATATAGGAGCAGAGGATCGCAAGTTCGATCCCCGCCTGGGGCGTCTGTATCCAGTAAGGGTCCTAAGGCTAGACCCCATATGCTAAGTGAGCCTACTGCAGACATGAGCGAGACACATAAATATGAAAGCATGCCGGCTCGGTCGTCGCCCGGATCAACGAGGTCCGCGTCAGGTGTTGAGGAACCAGGGCACCCTGACGAGAAGCGGGCTACTAGAGACGAAAACAGGGCGTTGTTGGAATGCTACTACGCAAGTAACCCTGGCGGAATTGGTTACATGAATAGGATGAGGGACCTATGGATTCTTCGATACCCAACATCCACAATGACGGCGAAACAACTAGTAGCTCAGTGTTCCAACATTCGAAAGAAGGGACTACTCTCACAGCTAGAGATTGACGAGGTACAACATAAATGCTACGGCAAGGGGGAGCCAGGACGCCAGGTCAGGGGGGAGATTGGGTACAAAGCCCCAAGTGCGATAGGAGAAGGATCGTTGAGTGCGAGAGGAACTGACCTGAAAGATAGGATCATGGCCAAGCTTGAAACCTGGATCCCCCGTAGCCGGTTACCAAGATTACGTGAAGTACCCTCAGAAGGTCTGCTAGATGATGTTAATGCAGCACTACGGATGATACCTACAGCCACGCTTACCGACACTAACAAGCTGATCTACAATACGGCAGCAGTGATCAGTGAGATGCTTGGCTACAAGTTGAACAGCCACAAGGGGCAGTACCCTCCATGGAGAAGGAGGCTAGAGGGCAAGATCAAATTAGCATGGAGGGAGGTTAGCCAACTAACAGAATTGCAGAAAGGTGCGACAAAGAAGGTGCATAAAAAAAGTACAGCAAGCTGCCCATACCTGAGGCCTTGGAAACTGCCAAGCAAAGATTCACAGCCTTGGCCAGCTGCTTGAGGAGGTACACAAGAGATAGAAGGCAGGAGAATAAACCAGCTGTTCTCCACAGAACCAGCAAAGGTGTACTCTCAGTGGCAAGGGAACAATAAGAGAACAGCACCACCAAGGCTGGAGACGGGGCAATACTGGAAGAGCATATGGGAGAAGGACACAACCCATAACAGCAATGCTCAGTGGCTAGTGGATCTGAGGGCAGACCATAGCAACCTCCCTGAACAGGGTCCAGTAACCATCACGGTGGCAGACATCCAAGCAAGGGTCTCTAGTATGAAGAGTTGGACAGCACCAGGCCCCGACATGGTTCACGCCTACTGGCTGAAGAAGCTGACTGCACTCCACGAGCATCTGGCAGCACATATGAACCAGCTGCTAGTTGACGAGAGACACCCGGAATGGCTAACCAAAGGTCGGACGGTCCTGATCCTCAAGGACCCCAAGAAGGGATGGGTCCCATCCAACTACCGACCAATAACCTGCCTCAGTACTACATGGAAGCTCCTGTCAAGCATCATATCGGCTAAGATGAACAGGCACATGGGTCAATACATGAGCGGGGCACAGAAAGGGATTGGCAAGAATACCAGAGGCGCAAAACACCAGCTACTGGTAGACAGAACAGTCAGCCGAGACTGCAAGACCAGGGTCACCAACCTGTGCACTGCCTGGTTGGTTACAAGAAGGCCTATGACTCAATGCCCCACAGCTGGATACTGGAATGCCTAGAATTGTACAAGATCAATGGGACCCTGAGAGCCTTCATCAGGAACTCAATGGGGATGTGGCGTACAACACTAGAGGCCAACTCCAAGCCCATAGCACAAGTCACCATCAAGTGCGGGATCTACCAAGGAGATGCTCTGTCCCCACTGCTGTTCTGCATAGGCCTGAACCCCCCTCAGTGAGATCATTAACAAGACTGGCTACGGATACCGACTATGGAACGGAGCAGTTGTCAGCCACCTCCTGTACATGGATGACATCAAGCTGTACGCCAAGAGTGAACGAGACGTTGATTCACTGATCCACACGACCAGGATATACAGCAATGACATCGGGATGTCATTCGGGCTGGAGAAGTGTAGTCGGATGATAACAAAGAGAGCGAAGGTAGTCAGAACTGAGGGGATCGAACTACTAGAAGGCAACATTGCAGACATAGAGGTAGGGATGGGTATCGTTTAGGTTTTATCCGATACCGGTGCCAAATCGGTACTTTTGAAACGGTGCCGGTGCTTAAACGGTGCTCGAACCGGTGCTTAAAGAATGGAGAACACAAACTTTGTCCAAAAACCTCTCATGTTCAGCTGGGTTTTTTTGTAAAAAGATAACAATGTGTGCCTTTTCTGCAGCTATGTGGCATATATGGCATCACTCTTGGCTGGAAGCAGTGCTTAATCAATGGAAAAAACACAAACTTTGTCCAAAAACCTCTCATGTTTAACTGTTTCCCACTTTTTCTTTGGTCATTTTAGCCTTTTTGGCCAGGGTGAAGGGAGTATCTGCCATCAAACAAGAAGACAGCCGCATGTAGCTATGATGATGTTTGCTAGTTCACCTCACATGCATTAATGTAATAACGTGGTTAGCCTACTCAACGTAAATTACACACAAACTACATGAAGCTACTCACGCAGAGAAGAACGGCTGCTGCTGCATCATCATCCGTCATCATTTCTGCTACACTGGCAGGGCTAGGGGCCAGGACTCTATTCTTCGGGTTTTTGGGGGATGTTGCTCTGGGTCCGATAACTGGCAACCCACCCGACGTGCACGGTGTGAGGTCTCGCAGCAAGCTATCAAATACGGCGCATTTCTGGGCTTTTTAAAAAAACCGCTATGCGTCGCCAGGTGTTTCATCGGATTTGAGGTGTTACCTCCTTTGCACAGTATCACAGTATCAGCTTAAAGCACTTGTTGCAGGCTGCTGAGTTTGCTTATTTTGCTGTGAAGTACAGCCAGACTTTTGACCGCTTCGCCTTGGACATTTTTAATCTGTAGCTCTGCTCTAACAGAACGTACGTACCCGGCCCCGCCTACTATCCTCGGAAACGTAAAATGATTGGCTAGAAGTGTATCACAGCTCAGGAAAAAAAAGCACCGAAATAAAGCACCGAAATGTGCGCTGCTTTTCGGTCTGGTTACTACCGTTTATGTCAGAACCGGTGCCACCGGTACCCATCCCTGTGTAAAGATGCCCCTGAGATAATCCAGCACATAACAGCAGGGTGCAAGATGCTAGCAGGCAGGGCATACATGGAATGCCATAACCAAGTGGCCAGCATAGTATACAGAAACATCTGTGCCGAGTATGGCCTGGAAGTTCAGAGGTCAAAATGGGAGACGCCCCCAAAGGTGGTGGAGAATGACCGAGCTAAGATCCTGTGGGACTTCCAGATACAGACGGACAAAATGGTGGTGGCTAACCACCACAAAACATAGTGGTGGTAGACAAACAGAAGAAGACGCCCGTAGTGATCGATGTAGCGGTTCTGAATGACAGCAACATCAGAAAGAAGGAACACGAGAAACTTGAGAAATACCAAGGGCTCAGAGAAGAGCTCGAGAGGATGTGGAAGGTGAAGGTAACGGTGGTCCCCGTGGTAATCGGAGCACTAGGTGCGGTGACTCCCAAGCTAGGTGAGTGGCTCCACCAGATCCCGGGAACAACATCGGAGATCTCTGTCCAGAAGAGCGCAGTCCTGGGAACAGCTAAGATACTGTGCAGGACCATCAAGCTCCCAGGCCTCTGGTAGAGGACCCGAGCTTGAAGGATAAACCGCCCGCAGAGGGTGAGCTAGGTGTTTTTATATATATATATATATCTCCACAGCCCCATCCCCCTTATTATGTGGGGATCTGGAGGCTCTGTTTTTGCCTTTTGATCTGTTACTGTGTAATCACTGTTAGTTGGAGTCTTTTCGGGAGATATGTCAGTAAGAAAACAAAGTGTAGACTACCCTTAGCGTTGTTCTTTAACCCCCTTCTTCTTAGCAGTGTATCAAGCTCACCTTACTGTTGCAACTGGACGAGCCTTCTTAGCTATGGCTGCTGGAACACAGGCTTCCTCCTGACACTCTTTGACCAGAGTGTGTTTGATGCCAACACCAGCAGCCAGCCCACCTGCTGCCTTTGAGGATACAAGCAATACGCTGAAGAAACTGAAGTGGAATAGCTTGACATGAGATGCTGCACCAATGCTTTCATCACACTGTCTCGTATGTCAGTGTTTCAGTCTATTCTTACCATGTTATCCAGGAGCCCAGGGTACGTCTGCTTGGTGTGGGAGCGCCGTGCCAACCACATACAAACCTCCTGACTGTCACTGACAGTGTAGCCATTGATATGAACTCCATACCGCTTCACCCCAAAGAGACCTGCAGTGTAGCAGCATGGTCTGCTCATACAGCTCAAACACAGGTATAATATAAAAGCCTGAGACGGTGCTCCAAAACCTACTTGTAGCTGCTCTTTCCATCCACATCAAAGGGCAGTCTGAAAATCTGGGCATTACACTGTATTTCTGAAAGAACAGATGTTTTAGTGTTATAAGTGAGAACATGTAAGTTGATTTAACCTTGAACATTTTTTCACACCTTCCACCTATATTTAAGACAGTGAAACTATCTTGCTTTGCCCTTTTCATTCCACCTGCTTATAACCATTCAGAGAAGTAAACAACTGAACCCAAAGCCAAAATGTAATGCAATGCAATTTGGTTAGCATGGTGGTTAGGACTCTTGCCACACAGCAAGAAGCTGCTGGGCTTGACTCCACCATCTGGCGGGGCTTTTCTTTATGAAGTTTGCAATGAGCGGGTGGAGGGAGGTTCGGAGTCTTCTCTCACCCCCGTTCTCTGCGACCTGCTGGAGCAGGGGGGCTAGGACTAGGAGGAGGAGTTGGCCGTCCGACTGCGGTCTGGAGTGTGGAGCCTTCCTGCTGCTGCGGAGTCGGGGCGGTCTGCCTCCCCCCACCGCAGGGAAAAGGGAAACACCACCTGGGTCTGGGTGCAGTTCCCCCTCCAGGGGCGGGGGCACCTAGACCCGGTTTGTAGAGTACGCTTGTGGAGTGTGATCGTGTGTACAACGTCTCTTTATGTCTGTCTCCACGTTGGTTGAGTGTGGAGTAAGTGCATATGAGAGCATGAGGGTGGGAATGGATGTTTGTATCTGTGTGTGCCTGTATGTCTGTGTCTATATGTCAGGTTGGGTGTCAGGCGCCACCTCTCTGGGGACATCTCAGGCCCTCCAAGGTTTGGAGGCCTATCTCCCCCTACCACCACTTCCCCTGCCAGTGGCGGACCCCCTCAGACATCGGTGCGTTGGTGGTTCTTTGTGTCCGGGGATGGGCGTCCAGGTACACACCGGCTCACTCCTTGGCGGCCGCTTATCGGGGCCTGGAGCCTGGGGCTCGCTCGGGCCACTTCGGAGGTGGGGTGCCCCCGGCCTCTCGGCCTGGGGCTCGGTCACTCAGGCGCAGCTGGCTGCCGGCGGAGCTCACGGGCGCGTCACTGCAACTCCCCCTGGCTTCTGCTCCGCGGCTGCTGAGTGAGCCCTCATCTGGGACTCTCCTCAGCTCTTTCCGGGACAGTGGCGCAGCTGCCCCTCTGTTGGTCTTCCTTGGTCTCTTGTGTTCTGGGGCCTCTGGATGTCTGGAGTTTTGATCTCCTCCACACCTGCTTCACGCCCTGGAGGACGGGGCTGTGGCCCCCCCACACCCTCTAGCAGATTATTACATGAAGGAACCTTTTAAAAAACAAAAAACAAGCGCGTCCATGCTCACAGGTGTACACACGGGTGATCACACCCACAAACTACACCCTTTCTGGCTCCTACCTCAAAGCACACTGTGTTCTGTTGATCTTATGTGCTGCACAATAATGTTTAACATTTAGTATTTACTGTCATATTCCCATATATCATTGTGATGTTGTTTATTCTATTACTCTTGTTCTCTTCTGCTTGCTTTCTTTTTTCTTTCTCAGCAGGTGATCCAGGTGATTGATATATGCATTTTTTTTTCTCTGCCCGTTCTGTTGGTTTTTGTCTTTTGCCCTTCTCCCCCGTCCCTCTTCTCAGCTGTTTCTCTTTCCCTCTTTCTTTCTCCCCTTCTTTCCCCCAGTCAAGTCTGTCCTGTATTCAGTAAGTGAAAATAAAATAAACAATAAAAAGTGAATCAAATGGACCATTACGGCAAGGCTGGGATGGTCAGTTTGGTAAAGTAAATCCGTTGGGCACCTTTCTTTGCCTTTAGACAACAATTCTGATGGCAAAAGAGCCAAACGGGACAGGCCAAAAAAAAAAAAAAAAAAAAAAAATGAAGTTTGCATGTTCTCCTTGTGTCTGCATGGGTTCTCTCCAGGTTCTCCGGCTTCTTCCACCAGTCAAAGTCATGCAGTTAGTGGGATTATTTAAATAGATACATTTACATAATCCCATAATCCCACACAACATCCAGCCCTTTATGGGCTGGATGTTGTGTGGGATTGTGTAATTGTGTAATTGTGTAATTTTCTTCTCCTACAGTCAGATCAAACTGATGCTTTTCTACTTGGTCTTAAATCCTCATAAGCAGGGTTTTTAATCAAATACTGCTAAGGCATTACCTTTGCCTTCATTAACACTGTGCTAAATCTTGGAGCTAATTTGACCAGCACATGTCCTTTAACATGCACTTTAATAAAATATGTGGGAGTGCTTTTTTTTTATTTGCAAGATATTGCAAAAAATTAGAAACATCATTTCTCAGAGTGATGTTGAAAAGCGTGTTCATGTTTATTAATTCTAGGCTGGACTATTATACTTTATTATTATCTGAGCAATCTAATCACTATATGCATGTGTATATATAAAGAACACCCAGCACCCCCCTGCGGGCGGTTTATCCTTCAAGCTCGGGTCCTCTACCAGAGGCCTGGGAGCTTGAGGGTCCTGCGCAGTATCTTAGCTGTTCCCAGGACTGCGCTCTTCTGGACAGAGATCTCCGATGTTGTTCCTGGGATCTGCTGGAGCCACTCGCCTAGCTTGGGAGTCACCGCACCTAGTGCTCCGATTACCACGGGGACCACCGTTACCTTCACCCTCCACATCCTCTCGAGCTCTTCTCTGAGCCCTTGGTATTTCTCCAGCTTCTCGTGTTCCTTCTTCCTGATATTGCTGTCATTCGGAACCGCTACATCGATCACTACGGCCATCTTCTTCTGTTTGTCTACCACCACTATGTCCGGTTGGTTAGCCACCACCATTTTGTCCGTCTGTATCTGGAAGTCCCACAGGATCTTAGCTCGGTCATTCTCCACCACCCTTGGGGGCATCTCCCATTTTGACCTCGGGACTTCCAGGTTATACTCGGCACAGATGTTTCTGTACACTATGCCGGCCACTTGGTTATGGCGTTCCATGTATGCCTTGCCTGCTAGCATCTTGCACCCTGCTGTTATGTGCTGGATTGTCTCTGGGGCATCTTTACACAGCCTGCACCTGGGGTCTTGCCTGGTGTGATAGACCCCAGCCTCTATGGATCTTGTGCTCAGAGCTTGTTCTTGTGCTGCCATGATTAGTGCCTCTGTGCTGTCTTTCAGTCCAGCTTTGTCCAGCCACTGGTAGGATTTCTGGATATCAGCCACCTCCTCTATCTGCCGGTGGTACATACCGTGCAGGGGCCTGTCCTTCCATGATGGTTCCTCGTCTCCCTCCTCTTTCTTGGGTTTCTGCTGCCTGAGGTATTCACTGAGCACTCGGTCAGTTGGGGCCATCTTCCTAATGTATTCTTGGATGTTCGTTGTCTCATCCTGGACTGTGGTGCTGACACTCACCAGTCCCCGGCCCCCTTCCTTCCGCTTAGCGTACAGCCTCAGGGTGCTGGATTTGGGGTGAAACCCTCCATTCATGGTAAGGAGCTTTCTTGTCTTTATGTCAGTGGCTTCTATCTCCTCCTTTGGCCAGCCTATTACCCCAGCAGGGTACCTGATCACGGGCAGGGCGTAGGTGTTGATGGCCCGGATCTTGTTCTTACCATTCAGCTGACTCCTCAGGACTTGCCTGACCCTCTGCAGGTACTTGGTGGTTGCAGCTTTTCTAGCGGCCTCTTCATGGTTCCCATTCGCCTGTGGGATCCCCAGGTACTTGTAACTGTCCTCTATGTCTGCAATGTTGCCTTCTGGTAGTTCAATCCCCTCAGTTCTGACTACCTTCCCTCTCTTTGTTACCATCCGACTACACTTCTCCAGTCCGAACGACATTCCAATGTCATTGCTGTATAGCCTGGTAGTGTGGATCAGTGAATCGATGTCTCGTTCACTCTTGGCATACAGCTTGATGTCATCCATGTACAGGAGGTGGCTGACAACTGCTCCGTTCTGTAGTCGGTATCCGTAGCCAGTCTTGTTAATGATCTCACTGAGGGGGTTCAGGCCTATGCAGAACAGCAGTGGGGACAGAGCATCTCCTTGGTAGATCCCGCACTTGATGGTGACTTGTGCTATGGGCTTGGAGTTGGCCTCTAGTGTTGTACGCCACATCCCCATTGAGTTCCTGATGAAGGCTCTTAGGGTCCCATTGATCTTGTACAATTCTAGGCATTCCAGTATCCAGCTGTGGGGCATTGAGTCATAGGCCTTCTTGTAATCAATCCAGGCAGTGCACAGGTTGGTCAGTCTGGTCTTGCAGTCTCGGCTGATTGTTCTGTCTACCAGTAGCTGGTGTTTTGCGCCTCTGGTATTCTTGCCAATTCCTTTCTGTGTCCCGCTCATGTATTGACCCATGTGCCTGTTCATCTTAGCTGATATGATGCCTGACAGGAGCTTCCATGTAGTACTGAGGCAGGTTATTGGTCGGTAGTTGGAGGGGACCAGTCCCTTCTTGGGGTCCTTGGGGATCAGGACCGTCCGGCCTTCGGTTAGCCATTCCGGGTGTCTCTCGTTAACTAGCAGCTGGTTCATTTGTGCTGCCAGACGCTCGTGGAGTGCAGTCAGCTTCTTCAGCCAGTAGGCGTGAACCATGTCGGGCCCTGGTGCTGTCCAACTCTTCATACTGGAGACCCTTTCTTGGATATCTGCCACTGTGATGGTTACTGGACCCTGTTCAGGGAGGTCGCTGTGGTCAGCCCTCAGATCCTCTAGCCACTGAGCATTGCCGTTATGGGTTGCATCCTTCTCCCATATGCTCTTCCAGTATTGCTCCGTCTCCAGCCTTGGTGGTGCTGTTCTCTTATTGTTCCCTTGCCACTGAGAGTACACCTTTGCTGGTTCTGTGGAGAACAGCTGGTTTATTCTCCTGCCTTCTATCTCTCTGGTGTACCTCCTCAAGCGGCTGGCCAAGGCTGTGAGTCTTTGCTTGGCAGTTTCCAAGGCCTCAGGTATGGACAGCTTGCTGTATTTCTTAGGCACCTTATTTGTCGCACCTTTCTGCAACTCCGTTAGTTGGCTAACCTCCCTCCGTGCTACTTTGATCTTGCCCTCTAGCCTCCTTCTCCATGGAGGGTACTGCCCCTTGTCGCTGTTCAACTTGTAGCCAAGCATCTCAC